AAAAAAAAAAAGAAAGAAACATTGTTAGAATTTGATCATTCTGTTCATGAACTTAAACTATGTACATTTAAGTTCAGCAGCCCAATTGTAACAAATTTTCTTTGGCTGACATGAAGTTCTCTAAATGTTCAGGGACCACTAATGTATCCTTATCCCTTTGTTGATGAATCGCATCTCCCCCCTTCCTTTCTTCTCTCCAAAACAAAGTCTTCAAAGTTGGTTGGGGGAGTCACTTCGCTCGCCTTCGGGTTAGTTAAGAGTTCTTGCTTCCTCCTTTGCAGCTTTGCTACCTTGCTAATGCGTCGAAGTGAAGTTCTATGGTTACTGTCCTAGGTGGGGGAGGTTGGATAACCGATGCCCCGGTGACTGGTGTGGCGCCCAGTTGAGGCTTGGTCGTTTGGACTGCCAGACTAGATGGTAGCGTGATCGAAGCCCAGATTGCGTGATTGTTCGAACGGGGTACCGTGACGTGGATAGGTCCATTCAACCATCCATGTTTTCCGACCGATGTCCACTTTGGTGAGAAGTATGGCTTGCCAAGGTTGGGGGGCATTCCACTCAAGGAATTACGTAACAGCTAAAGATAATGAGACAATACTTCCTAAAGCTTGAAATGAACATTTCTAACCTGCAAACATGGAAAAAACACGGCATGCTGGCATAGGAATAAAACTTCCAACTGCAAATGCTAAAACCTCGGATAGACTTGCTAGTGTTATTGATGGTCCAACTTCTACTAGTGCATTACTAATTCGTCCCTCTAAAGGCAATTCTGACTGTTGCCGTTTAACAGCTTGCACCAGTATGCACATGTTATCTACCCCAACCTGATACAAGATGGAAAAGGCCAGTAAGTCTCTGTTGGAGAGAAATATTCAATAATTTATTTTCAAAAACTCTACTTGTAAAAGAAACTATTGCATCAGTGAACAAAATATCAAAATTTAATCCCTCCCAAATCCCATTTGTCAATCCAGAGGTCTGAACAAACAAACCCTTTCAAGAATAAGAAGTGAAGAGAAATTTGTAATAAACATCAATGTGAAGTTAAGTCACAGGAGGATTCATTGAAATAGAACTTACAGCCAAAACAAGAAAAGGGATGACTTCCATTATTATGAGTGTTGATTTTACTCCAATTGCACTGAAAAACCCAACAGATCCAAGTACAGAAAGCATGACAAGCATAACTCCTGAAAGACCGAGCAATACCTGAAACAGTACGCGTAACAGATATCCTTTTAATATTTGGATCAGAACTGACATCCTGATTAAGGACAATATCTTTCACAAAGAGATTAGGAGATGGAATAATAAAATGCGAAATTGGTCGAAGATTATTGAGTGCCCTAAGGATGTCAAACAAAATCCATCTCCACATATTAACATAAAGATAGGTTAGGTTATATATCTTTTTCTTTTTCATAAAAAATGACTGAGATGTGTACTCCTACAAAGTGAAAGTTAAAGAAACAGGTAAAGAGATTTACATCTATACTAAATGTGCATGCAAAAGGATCAGTCGAAGGAGTGTTATTATATTATCTTGAATAGAGTAAAAAGAAAAAGAAATGCTAGGCTGACTAATTTCAGAGCCTGTTTGGGCCCGATTTTTTCACCAAAAAAAATTGATTTTTTGACCGTTATTTCACTATTCCAGTTAGGGCTGTATGCAAAAAC